GTCAGAAGTGGTAATAATATTGTTTTTGAGCATTTGTTTCTTATCAATCTAATATCATGTTTTTCTTTTCAATAAATCAATCTAGCAACATCTTATACATGGTAACGTCAATAGTGTTCACCCCTTGGTTGTTGAACTATTTGTACATCTTTATCATTTGTCTTTTTATATGGTTCACCTTTCCTTCAGGTCATTTGGTATCAAGTATAACTCAGTGTTGCTGCCGTGCTTGTGCACACAATTTTGTGTCAATGCAATCTATCCCGCTGCCTAAATATAGAAAAAGAATCATTCGGAATATGAAAAACCATAAAAGTTGTCTATTTTAGTTTATTACCATATTTATTGACTATATCATATCACTGATCAGATGATTTTCGAGACAAATTTAGTGGTTATATCAACAAGTTTTATATTTTCCCAACAATTGTAAGGGTGCAAAAAGTCTTGAGTTCAGGATCTGCTGCAAGCACTGATTTTTTTAACCTTCTCTAACCATTTCCTTTCAACAGATGCCAGTAAGGTATATAGTTTGACTTCTTATATTCAATTTAGAGTAGCAGATTGTGACAAACTCTGGGGTGGGTTTGTAAATTTCTTTTCTATTAACTGGCCAAACTGATGCGCAACCTCTTCAATCTAATACAGAAACCAAATTGCCTTTATGACTCAGCTGTAAGGTCTAAGATTTGCCCATGGAATTTAGAGACAACAGAATATAGTTATTACTAGTTGACACAAACCAAGAATCCTAGTTAGTTCTGATTAAGGTTCTGAAACTGTTTAATTCTTGTTATAGTGTGTTTTTGGGTCTATTGCTGACTGCTCTTTAATTTCTTGGGTATAAGAAATCATTTTATGACTGCTTTCACCATGTCTTATTTTGGTTGTTTAGGCAATACTGGTTGATTTGTAGGATCTTATGGGTTGTAGATTTCTCAACATAAAAATTTACTCGGAAATGCATCTTTCTTGTATAACACAGCTGATGGTATGGATTTCCTTCAACTCTCAGGTAATCGAAACCACAGATTGCTATTGCGTGACCCTGACTTTGGAAGGTGTCATGTCAGAGTTCCCCCTTTCATTGAAGGAGGGCAAGGTAGTCAAAAATACGAAACTCATGAAGAGAAAACCTGTCTCAGGTCCCCTGAAATGGAAGCTAAAATGGTTTTCAGAAGAAAGTTTCTTCAAGTTTGTGGCTTTATTGAAAGCATTACATAGTGAAGCAACCACAAGTGCCCTACTTGTCTACTGTTATTAAAGCGAGCAAAATCTGTTTTGTTTTCTTTCTCAGTTCTATTTTATATTCATTTCATTCTTTGGTCTGATATACTCTTCCTGTTCCCCTAGGCAGTGTTGTATTTGCTTTCCTTTTATTTCGGTTGTTGTGTTTTCCATTCTTTGATTTATTGTGTAGGCAGCGATTTGTTGTAAAAAGCATATGGAAAGGGGAATTAGTACATTTAATATCAGTTTGTTTCGGAGATCCTTTTTTTACTAAGTTTCACAGTTAAGTTTTACATTTGTTAAAAAGGGACTTTCGGCTTGACTTGGTTTACTATATCAATCCTAATGGCAATCTCCTGTAAACCCAAATTGAGCAAACCTCATAGAGAAACTATGATTAATATAGCTAAAACCCTCCTACATAGAATCGAAAAAATGTCTATTCAAGAACAACATTAACAACATAATCAGTGTAATTTCACATGTGGGACAGCGTATATAATTTCTCAAAACTCTTAAATCAAAGAAAGCATTTTTGTAAGAAGAATTATCAAAACAAAATTTAACTTATCAAACAACTCTTAGATGACAAAATCTTGAGAATATTACTAAATCGACATTATTGGGTTGGTATCATTTAAAAAAAAAATGGGTTGCATTCGCCTGTAGAATGTAGGAGAAAAAGGATTGAAGGTCTGAGACGAGTTGAAAATATAGCAGCTTTTCTCTCCTTAGAGATGGTTGATGACATGAAAGCTATTCTGTGATATTCTCAAGGGCCCTGGGGCGCAAATTAGCAGCATTGCCTCAACGACTAGCTGATCTTACATTGCCAAAATACCCTCAAAGGAACAAGTTCAAACGTTTGCTATCTCCGGGTTTTCTTTGACTGTAGCCTCTTATAAGCCATAAACGTCACAGCAGCTGACAGAGAATACCTTGCAAAAAATTAGAGAAGTCGTTCAGAAAATACACAAAAAGAACAAATAAATACAGGAGAAGTCTGCAACATGTAGGTGTAATCCAATTGAATGCTAATTCTGAGTTATAAACTTCTAAATAATTAGTCTTAGTAGGTTGTCACATCATAAATACTAGTGAAACTATTTCATGCATGTGAAGTCTAGTAAAACCAGGAAATGATGCTTGCGAATAATCTTTCATCTTTGCTGACTTGTTGGGAATCCAATATTAGCTCATCAAAACTTGACAAAAAAAGACATGACAATAAACCTAGATGTAAAAAGTTGGAAAAGGGAAACAAAATTTTAGTGAGATGAAATTTCGATCAAGTTTAGGTACACAATTTTACATGGTAATTTCTTTCGATAAAAGCATTAGCACTAGACAGAGACAAGGGGCCTCAATAAGATGAGAGAAATAGCCAATATATTAATGGTAAAAAGACTCAGAAGCATGTATCAGAACATATATCGAACAGGGAATACCATGTAAATGTGTAGTTAAGATGATCTTGTGGCATTACAGAACTCCGAACCAATGTGTTTGTATCCTTTGGAATTGGATAAGGATTGCTTGGGTCGACATTATCATTGATGGCTTCAATGTAGAGTGTGTTCTCAGGGAGTCCACAAGCACGAGCAATGGCTGAAACATCAACATAGAACCACTGGAAGGAATTGGGATCATTTGCTGGAACAAATATACTTGGCTTCTCACTTCCTCTGATGACTCCAATCACTTCTGTGGGTTTAACAGTTGGAACTTGATCCTGTTGATTGAATGTATTGCCATCAGGTGCCATGTTCAGATTACACACAACTTTAATCAGGAAATTAAAGTAAGAAAAGAGAACAACCTCTTCTACTTTATTCTTTTTTGAAGAAAACATCCACCAGGAGCTCTTTCCACTCTCTTGAGATGGCGGTGCAATACTTGAAGGTTGTTCATCAGCCGCAGCCATTTCCAAAGACTTGTCTCTCCAATTCCGGGGGACCCATCCCCTATTGACAAGAATTGGTGCCTGCACACTGGAAGGAAGTTGATATGATTAGACCGAATTAACCACTCATGCAGCTGCCAGACATGAATTTGAAGTGATTTTTCTCATATGATTCAGAATTCAAATGAAAAGGTGCCAAAACTGTAAATGCATACAGAAAACGTAATCTTGGAGAGAAACTAGATGATAGTATGATGGTTGGGTTAAGGCCTACAAAGGTAAGGAGTGTAAAAAAGGCAGTAGATGGTGTGAATTAGTTGCATAAACAATCTAGAAACCAATAAAATTAATCAAATAAATCCACTCATCTCAATCCTAAACCAATCCGAAGAGTATTTAAATAAAAATAAATAAGAGAAACTCAATTTCATTGAATCATGATATAAGCAATAAGAAAGCTAGATGTATTGTAATATAGTATAGTAGTTGAGCTAATACATACATAAGTGATTCAAGTGAAGTTATGAGAGGTATACACTACACACAAAAAATGATGCACCAGCTTAGATTAAAGGAATTAAATTCTTGTTAATGAGAAAGCTATCTTTGGACCTTATAAATGGCAATATTGGTTTTTACAGGTGCAGCGAAGTACCAAAATCTTTGATCATAAAAACAGCCAAATCTTTTTGCGCTCTCTATAATAACTAGAGATTGTAAATCAGTGACATCTCAACTGCTATTCAGTAACTTCCTTTTAACATGTACTGAGTGACTAGATGTAGCAATTTATTTATTTTGGTGACTAAACCCTATTTAACTGTTTTTTTTTTCAGGAATCCTATTTAACTTTCACTGAGATATCAACAAAGCTTGAGCAAGAAGTACAAACCTAATGCACAAAACTATACTGACTTAGTCTTATGTACATGTACCTCTTAGGATCATTTGCCAAAGGCATGAGAGGAGTAATAACATAGTAACCATTTTCAGTCACCCCTGAAATGCTTCTGGAGCGTGGCCCTATGAAAATGGACTTCTTCTCATCAAACACTCCTCTACATAGTACCCTGCAGAACTCCAAGGAATCCACATTTTCACCTGAAGGAGAAACCTCATTGCAGTTTAGAGGATCCATTCGCAATCGATTTTGTCTGTACTCAAGCATTTCAATCTGCAAATAGTGATCAATGTTTGCAATTTCTTTCTCAGGCAATCTGGCATTAACTGAAACTATAGCGAACTAACCACACTCCAGACTTTAGATACAGTGATTGAACAAACCAAGCAACAAAAAGTATCCATCGAAAACAAAATTGCATCAACAGCATTTTTCATCGCGCTTCCTTTAGAAAATAGAAATGATAAAATCTCCCGAAAAGAAGTATTCACCTTATCTTGCCTTCTGATGATCTGCCAAGAGCCAAGGCCAAAGGTGATGACCCCCGGTACGAAGAGCAGTAAGTTTGACCATTTTGAAGGTCCACCTCTCTCTGAGGAATACAAACAAACAGGCAGTGATTCAGATAACCTAAATTCCGGAAATAAGATAAAAATGATTAAAAAATTACAATATTTGCTTGAGGGAGAAAGGAGAAGGCGGTGACCTGGAGGTTGAGTTTCAGTCACAGAGATGGCAGGAGCTGAAGCAGCGGCGGAGGATAACCGGAGCTGTAATGCTTGTGTAGTCTCACCACTTCGCCGGAGAAGATTTCTGGTTAGGGTTTTAGATATGGAAGCTGCCATGATCGTATTGAAGCTACCATTCGGAATGTCGTCGTTTTGATTGAAATTCGCAAAAAGTTTATGGGCGAATGTGAAAATTACAGAACACTAAAAGGGCTTAACTGTAATTTCATCTAAACATTAACCGATAACAGAGATGGACTATAAGGCCCATTCCCTGACGGGCCCAATTAGGGCTCTTTTCACTTCAACTTTACCCTTCATAAATCTCAGATCCAAATTCGTTTCTGTAATTTGGTCTTCTTCTGCCGCCGCGCCGGCTATCATCTCATTCTCTTGCCGGAAAATAGTGTCGTCGATCTTGTGAGTTCAAATTTTTTTTTTTATATTATGTCATAGAAAAAAAGGCAATGAGTGTGCAAACTGCGCTTTAAAAGGAGTAGCGCAATCAGCCATTTACGTTGCCGATAACATGCCGTTCCGGCGTGAGTTTATATGCTTGCATGTGTCGTTCTTTATTACGGCTTGTGCACTAATAAGCTCGTAAATCCATTCTTCTTTCTTATTTTTCAAATTTATCGTGCATACCATAGATTAGGAAGAAAACATAATAGTTTGTGGTAAATTACAAATTTTGATTATGAAATTCAAATTTCAGGATTAAATCCTAGTTCATATAACTAAACAAAACTAAAAGTGGATGTGCAAAATCTAAATTAAAGTGAAAGGAAGAAGTTTGGTAAAATGGATTCAAACTAGAGTTGCTCAGCTACTTATCGATTTGTGAACATGTGAAATTGTTAAAAGATATTGGTTAATGGATTATTGATCATTATTAGTTCGATCATGGTATTATACATTGAGAATTACAGTAACTAAAACTCAAAAGTTTAACCAACTCTGTATTGCCATTTTAGCAGCTTAAGCTTAACCTCTAGCTGATTATAGCAATTTAAGCAAAGATCTAATAGATTTCTCATACATTTTGGTCGTTCCAACAACTAAGTAACATCTATAGCCATTGATTCTTGTGCAGATTATAGCAATCAAAAAAACTGAAACAAACCCGAATTCACAAGTACTCTTAACATTATATAAACTTTGATAGCCAAATTATAATAACAACAACTAGAGATGAGAGAAATGAACTTGACCAGCCTCTGGGCCATCTGTGTTCACAACAGAACTATTAGATTTTACGAATTACATCAAAGCAACTGCATAAAACAACAACAATGCAGTACAAGTATAGAGTGCCTCTACTGAGAGAAATCGTGAGGTACTAAGGTGAGAATGAGAAATGAACTAAACCGAGGCCTGAATCAATAGCACGATCTCGAACAGTTAAACCAATAGTATAACCAAATTATCGATTTGGGGTGTGTTTGGTATGGAGGAAAATGTTTTCCTATTTTCTTTTGTTTGGTTGCAACAAAATGTTGGGAAAACATTTTCCTAAATGACTTGTTTTCCTAAAATCAGCGGAAAACGACTTCCGTAACAAGTCTGCGGAAATCATTTTCCGGAAAAGAAGTCGACGCGCAACACAAGCGAATTTCACCCCAGCCTACGCCCTTGCCCACCCTCAAACGTAGTGAAGGAGCGCTGTTTCTCCATTATTTCTCCAGCTTGTTCCTCTCCAAATTTAGGGTTTCCATTGTTGTTCTTCTCATTCATATTCCTGTAAGAATTTCGAAGGTATGCTTTCAATAATTCTTCAAAATATTCATCTTTCACTTGCTTTTCTGCTGAAATACTTGCTCATGTGTTTGAATTTGACTTTACTTGGTGAATTTATGCATTGGATTCGATATTTTTTGGTAAATCTATGAATTGTGGCCTTTTGCTTTCGATAAGGATGAGCAAGCATGTGTTTCATTGTACTATGCACAGTTGAAATATGTGTGTGGTGTACAGAGATGAGCAACTGTGCACAATAATGTGAAAAACTTCAAGTCTCAACTGTATAGTGTTAGCTAGAAGCATGTACTAATGTATGGCACGCTGTTTTCAAGTTATTTTTTGATTAAAACGACAGTTCGATACATAAAATATATTCATCGTAAAATTAGAGATCTTATTCTAAAGGATTATTTGATAACTATATGCCTTGGCAGACTTTCTTATTATGTTCTTTTCTTTGTTATATCATAAACACAATTACATTATACTGGTCGTTGGAACAGATGGATATGACAAACAAAGATGAAGATGATGCAATAGTTGGAGCTGTAGCTACATCTGTTTTAGCTTTCGGAGTTGCAATTAATGTAGCCTATAATAATCAAAGTAGCATTCCTAGAGAACCTTATACGAATAAAGATCAAGAAAGGGAATTTTACATGAATAGTATTTTGAATGGAAGTGATGTTCATTGTATAGGACAGATAAGGATGAGCAAGCATGTGTTTTATGAACTATGCAATGCTCTTAGAAGAAATAATTCGTTGTGTTCAACCAAAAACATGTCTATTCAAGAACAAGTATTAATATTTTTAGAGATCGTTGGTTTTAATGAACGATTTCGCAAGATTGGATCACACTTCTATAGGTCAATCGAATCTATTCATCGATGCTTTCACACGGTACTTCAAGCAGTTTTGAAGCTCTACCCTATCCTTATAAAACCACCAGATGGTACTCTTCAACCGGAGTAAATAATGGGCAAAAAAGGAGAGAAGCTTATTAACTTAGTTGTATATAGAACTGTGTAGGAGCAATAGATGGCACACATGTGCTTGCATCTGTTCCTATTGAACAACAAAGTAGATTTCGTGGTCGAAAAGGCACAACAACACAAAATGTATTGGCTACCATCAACTTTAATTTGAAGTTCACGTATGTACTAGCTGGTTGGGAAGGATCTACTCATGACTCTCGCATATTAAATGATGCATTAGAGAGACCACATGGGTTTCAAATCCCCCAAGGTATCTTATTCAATCTAAAAAAATTCCTTACTCACCAACCAAACACTAGAAATTGTTTTCCGGAAAATGTTTTCCACTCACTAACCAAACATAAGAAAACAAGTTAAAAATCAACTTGTTTTCCAAGAAAACATTTTCCAGGAAAACATTTTCCTTCATACCAAACACACCCTAAAAGTATGAAGTTTCTACGAACATCGTGAAATGCATGCTTGATAAAAAGAATAATATATAAATAAAATGTCATAAATTATTAAATATTTGACAAAAATATAATATATCAAGTCTAATTAAAAATCATGTGCAATGTAAATTCAATATTACTAAAACAAATGAAATTGAAAATATAACATAGGTTATAAATTCAAAACAAAAAATTTAACATAATACTCTTATAACAAATTTCAACATAGCAATAAATATGATTTATTTTTATTTTTTCTTAATAAAGAAAACATAAGTCTATAACCTTACTTAACAATAAATTCTATTTTAATTTAAAAATTAGAATACTAATAAAATTATGCTAATGAGAAAATAAGCATGGCATAAAGAAATAGATAATACAAAAAAATTACATAGAATCACGTACAGTAAGGTTGAGAACAAGAAGAAAATGAAATATAGTAATATAAAATAAAAAATAAACTTTTGCAAATTTTTAGAATAATAAAAATAAAAAAGAACTTAAAATAATAAGAAGTAAAAAAATTAAAACAAAAAAATAAAAGTAGAAATAAAAAAAGAAATTAAAAAGTAATCAGGTGGTAATTACACCATGTAATTACCAGCAATTCACAGTCTCTGCCTGTGAATTGTAGAATGTAATTACTCCCCTGCCAATTACACCAATTACCTGCTGACCAAGTAATTACCTGTCCTTCTAAACAGGACAAGACAGTGTAATTACACCAATTACACCAAATCCAATTACCAGGGTGTCCTTCCAAACAGGCCCTATATGAAATCCAACAAAACAAGTTAGTGCAAAAATTAGGCAATATATTGGACAACTGAAAATATTTTAGTTTCTACACTCTCATGCTATTTCCAATTAATGTTATTTTTATTTTACGATTCTGTCTAATCAACAGTTGTAGTATAATTTATTAAATATTTTATAAAAATACAAAAATATTTATTAATTTTTAACAAATTAAAAGGACCAAAAACTGTTCAAAAGTTGCACAAATATGGTGCGTTAGTTTCCTCACTCAAAAGATTAGGGACTGATCGCGAAAACATCAAAAGAAGTCTCTTCTTCTCTTTCTGTCTTTCACATTCAAGTCACCCCAAACTCGTCGAATCCAATTTGTAACAGGTGATTTCTCTGTCAAGATTCTCCATTCCAGTCTTTTGTTCTTCTTAATTCTTTTGATCAACTGTTTGTATCAATTATTATTCAGTTGCATGCTGATTTTTGTAAAAATCTCTTCACTGTAGTCTTCAAAATCGCAATCTAAGTGAAAATTACTTGGCGATTTGCCATATTATCTATCAACTTGGTTCGAAGATATTGCAGAAGTTTGGTTTTGGGAGGGCTGTGTTATAGGGATGAAAATAGGATATTTATTCTTTTCTCTCCTTTGATAATTTTGAGTTCTGATTCATTATGATTGCAGGATGGGGGAGCTGCTGGTGGGGAAGCATGTTAAGTACATTATAACAGTTGAGAAGGTACTCATTTGTTTCATGTCTACTAATTTTCCTCTGCCTCTCTGATTTGATATGTATAAATCTGAGCTTAGGTGGTAGTTCCACCCTGATCCAATTTGTCGCTCATATAGCTGTGTATTCTAACCAAACAACTAGGCTCCTTTCAAAGGGGTTAATACTTTGAACAAGTTAAATAGGATTTTCCTGTAGGGAGATACCTGTGAAACTAGGAAAGTACATCGGGATGATTGTAAGACAGTTGTGAAGGAAACATAGAATGGTTTGTAGGCATTAGCTATTATATTCTGCTCTACTTGCTAAAGTATGATGGATCCTTCTTAAGCATCCTAGTATCATTTGTGTTAGAGTACTCCAGACTAGTATTTTAGGAACTTCCAGTGTTTGGATTGTCTCAATTGTCAAGTTCAAAATTATGGTTGTCATATTTGGAAGGATATCATATCCAGCCTTAAAGAAGTTGACCATGGAGTTGTTTGGAATGGCTCTGGATTCCCCCTTTTGGTCTGGTATAGCTTGGAACTTTCTGATATGATTGACTGTGGGATTGATCCTCAAGATTTAATCCCTCACAGTTAACGACACCCTTGATACCTGAAAACGGTGGCATTTCACCTGTAATATATTCTTGTTTAAGTGGGTATATTAAGACTAGCATTTCTGTTGTTCTGGTTTCATCTTCCATCAAACAGAAGAAATGTGACTTTGTGCAAATGCCCCGTATATTCTCCTCATATTCTCACGGTTGTGAGATGATTCCTTTGTACGTATTATTCGTGGAATTTAAGTACTTGATGGAGTTCCTTTCTTTTCCGCCACCCACTAAGGCACTTCTCATGGTACTCTATCATTTGATTTCTCTAATACGTTCCTGTATACCTTTAGAGGAAAGATGATTTTGAATCTGTGGTGATGGAGCATTTGAGATTAAATGGGGCATACTGGGGATTGACAACTCTGGATATCATGGGCAAGCTTTCTGCTGTGGAGCAAGATGAAGTTATTTCATGGGTCATGCAGTGCCAACATGAATCTGGTTTGTGTCTCGCACTTCGTTCTTGCTTTCTCACAATGATTTTTTTGTCTGTATTTCCAAATGCTGCTGCTATACTGTACCCACTGCTTTTGTAATGGATGTTGCTTTTCTCTTTTCTTTTTTCCTTGAGAGGTAGTTACTTCCATGTTTTGATCTACTTGATCTGTATGTAGCCTTACTTCTCTATTTGTATAATATGCAGGTGGATTTGGTGGTAATATTGGACATGATCCACATGTTCTGTATACACTTAGTGCTATTCAAGTCTTGGCGTTATTTGATAAAATATATGTCCTTGACATTGATAAGGTGTCAAATTGTATCCTAGTTCATGTCACATTTACAATTGTTTTTGAGGTTCTGTGTACATATCCTTTCGATCTATGTATTACATCCGTGAACTTTGCTGCAATGCTAGCATTTAGAGAATGTGCAATGTTAACCTCACAAAACCAAAACATGTGGTTAAGTTAACATCAAGAGTACTCATCACAACAGTGGCATTCTCGACATTGGCAATTGGAAGTACTATTAAGAAATTTGGGTGTGACGAAGTGGTGGACTTAACATTTCAGCTAGATATTGCAGGTCTGCAAAATGAAGATGGATCATTTTCTGGTGATATATGGGGTGAAGTTGATACACGGTAGCTGCTTCTTACTTTGTTTGCTATTATAAATTTCGGATCCTTTATTTGGTTTCTCGTTTTAAAATTTACTTATAATGCCAAGGATTAAGCCATATATCTTTTTTCATCAATAAAGAAAAGGTATATACATGTGTTTTTCTTTTGGAACGTAATATCCTTCTTTTGGGAATTGAAAATATGATGACCTAAATATACTGTGTAGGTTCTCTTACATTGCGATCCTTTCACTCGCATTGCTGCACCGGTTAGATAAGGTTGATGTTGGAAAAGCAGTGAAATATATCTTAAGTTGCAAGAATGTGGATGGTGGATTTGGATGCACACCGGGAGCAGAATCTCATGCGGGGCAAAGTATGTCACATATGAAAAACATGCATTTTATCATACTACTAATGGCTTCTAACTGAATGACAAATGAGAGCGTTGATATACTTAGCGTTGGCCCTTTGTTGGTTTTCAACCTGTTTGTTCCACTTAGCATCCATATTTCCAGCAGTCTTCTTATTTGAGTTGTGTATTGCTGCGTTACTGAAAGCAATTTCAACTATGCTACCATTGCAGTTTTCTGTTGCGTGGCAGCTCTCGCAATTACAGGGTCTCTACATCATGTTGATAAGGACCTCCTTGGTTGGTGGTTATGTGAAAGACAAGTCAAATCTGGGGGTCTAAATGGGCGCCCAGAGAAGCTTCCTGATGTTTGTTACTCTTGCTACATTGAATTTTTTATTGACAGGTCAGTTTTGAGTTTTACTGAGGGTCATGTTGTTGCTTCTCAGGTCTGCTACTCTTGGTGGGTTCTCTCCAGCTTAATTATGATCGACAGGGTTCATTGGATTGACAAGGGAAAGCTTGTAAAATTTATTTTGGACTGTCAGGTTACATTCGAATATAACAATCCCTTCACTTGAAGCTTGGCATTGAATACTATATCTTTGTGTAGTTGTCCAACATTTTTGTAAAGCCTGAGTTATATTCCTTTCACAATGTAGGACAAGGAGAATGGTGGAATTTCAGATAGGCCAGATGATGCAGTTGATGTCTTCCATACTTACTTTGGACTCGCTGGTAAGGGACATATGACATTTTTGTATTGTGAAATAGCTAATGTGTATTTTTCTTACGATTATATGACGGTCCATATGGCTGTTGAAAAGGATCTATCATCTGAATTGTGTTGTCTCCATTGGTGTAGCTATCAAATATGATCTCTCTTGGCCTTTTTAATATGCTGTGTATTGAAGTGATTAAACTATATCAAGTATGAAACTAGAAGCAAATTTTGAAGGATATTCCTGGAAACATTTTCTAAGCTCTACTGCAGTTGTTTTTCTATTGTTGATGACAATTTAGATTGACCTTTAACGACCCAAGTGTTTAAACTTATTCCTTTGATTTTCTTCTGCAACCCAGGACTTTCACTTCTTGAATATCCAGGAATAAAGCCGATAGATCCTGCTTATGCCTTGCCTGTTGATGTTGTAAACCGAGTTATGCTTGGCAGATAATTGTTGGGTTTTTGCTCCATTCTAGCTCATAACAGCATTCTCTTGATATGAGATTAGCAGAAACAGTTTCCCTTGATGAAAGGTGGTTTGCGTTACCAATGCTGCAACATTTTCATCATAATGGCTCTTTCAGGAAGAAACAAACCTAAAGCGGATCCAGGATTTTAACTTGATGGGTTCAGCCTCTGTAGTTTTCAGCACTTAACTCATTATAATTCTTAAGTTACAGGTTCAGATTTGATATCTGTTGCTATTTTAGTGATTTTTCGTTTATATAATTATACTCTTATCGAAAATACTGGCATCATATGAATCCGTACCCTGAAAACTACATCTTGTAGCAAGCAGCAACAATGTGATAGTTGTACCAACTTCTACAATGTTAAACTAAACAAGGAAGTTGTTTGGTTTGAATTCAAGTTATGACGGGATTAGTTATGATGGGATAAATTATGATGGAATAAGTTAGTTTTTTAATTGAGTGTTTGGTTTGTTTTATTCAAAATAATAAATTCTAAGAACAATATATTTGTTTACAAAAATACCCTTCATGAATGTAAAAAGTGATGTAACAAA